GACTTTCTCAGCGGAGGCAGGTCCTCCCACACAGACAGACAGGTTCAGGAGCCGCGTGTGCAGGAAACAATAACAAAGTCACTCACAGTGCGGGTGAGTACATATGGATCTCAGAGAGGAAGGGGGCGGGGGACAAGGAGAGAGAAACATCCATGATGAGAGAGAATCATGGACCGGCTGCTTCTGCACGCCCCACACTGGGGATCAAGCCGGCAACACACGCCTCTTTGGGGTGGCTCGTCCTTTTCGCATGGGAGGGGTGAGTCCTGAGGTCCGATCACCACTGTGAACGGTGCTCTGCATGTGAAAGCAGGTCCCTCAGCCTTGCCTCGCCTTTGCTCCTATCCCTGGCGTCTATCCTCACAAGAGCTGGTCGGCTGGCACCTAACACCGTCAGCACGTTTCTCCATGACCCGTGCTCTCTGCGCCTCCCGGCGTGAGAACGTGGCGGGTGGGTGGATTGTCGGTGAAACACTAAAGCGCTGGGCACAATGTAAACTCCATCTGATTAACATCGTCTTGAGCTGGCAAGGAAATAACCACTGTGAGGAATGATCACTGCCACACACAAGCTGTTGGAGTCCAAGGTACTGGAAAGGCATTTGCCAACCTGGTGGACTTGAGCTTGATCTTAGTTTCAGCTAATGACCTCAGCATTCCTGGAAGAAGTTAGAGACCAGGGTCACTACAACACTGGCGTGTGACAGAAGCAAACTGTCTGCCCAGCCCGGTGTGGCTCACTGGCTGGGCGTCACCCCAGGCGGAAAGGCTCAGGGGGCGCCCAGGCTGGCCACCCCAGGGCCTTGTGGGAGGGAGGAGCTCCATCACTGAGCCTTGCAAACAGGCGGCAGCCTGGCTCCCGTGGGAGGCAAAGCCGTTGGGACGTGGCTGATGGGCCTCAGCCCGCCAGCCCGGACAGTGCACCCGGGAAGCTCTTCCTGGGGTGGGTGGCCAGCGTGGCATCGACTGAGCTGAGCTCTCCCTGCGGGGTGGGCCGAAAAGCCAACAGGGAGTTCTGGCCCAGAGCGGAGCTGGCCCGTAGCGGGCAGTCAGCGGCCTTGGCCAGGCCAGGGTCAGCGATGGGTGAGAAGGTGGGCTTCCATCTGCTGCTGTGACAGAGGGCATCGCTTCCTTCCTGCCAGGCTGCCACCTGATGAGGGAGGAGAGGCAGGGGCTGAGGCCTGGGTGCCTCGAGGGGCCACGTGGGGCGGGAGCTGTGCTAGGAGGTCTCCGGGGGAGTCTGGGAGGAGCTGCAGGGGCTCAGACCACCGTAGCTCAGGAAAGGTTGGTCCTCCTTGTGGTTAGGGTGTGACCAACGACAGGAGAAGGTAGAGATGGAAGGCGTGCTTCTGTGGGAGGGCGGGGGGTGGACGAGTCAACACCAGTCAGACGTGGGCCTATTTCACCAGGAAGGAAACAGGTCTGCTGCCCAGGCCACTGAGGCTACGGCCGCACCGGGACTGGCCTGTGGTGGACGGCCTTTCTCGCACCCCGCGCTCAGGAAGCCTGTGCGGGAAAGACGGGCATGCCGCCAGCACCCGGACTCATGTCCTCGCCGTGAGCACTTCCCTCCAAGGTGTTCGGAGGAGCTCTGCTTTCTAAGGAGGCAGTTTCTATCCAGAAAAAAGAAAAAAAGACTGTTTGCAATCCGTGTGCTCTCTGAGTTGCCAGGGAGGCTGAGCAGCGGGGGACACATGGACTCCTCCAAGGAGGGCCATGGCTGTGCTGTCCATGCTGCAGCCGATCACTAGGGCTCCCAGCTACAGAGGAGCCGGGGCTGCACGTCCCCATACACAGACACGCATGTCCCAGGTGGAACCATCCCTCAATCTCTGGTGCTGGCCGTGTCGCCTGTAGGATGCCATGCAGCGGCACACAGGATGTAGCACACGTCAGCACGGTGGGATCACAGCAGCCCCAGGTCAGACAGGCTGTGCGCGCTGTGTGTCCGTGTGTCCTGGCCTTTCCCCAGGACACAGAACTTCCAAATGAACCCGGAAACTGACGAGCTGGATGTGCCTGAGACGGAGGAAGACCACCCAAGGGCAGCCTTTAAGGACATAAGGTATCACGTGGAGGAAAAACAGAATAAAATCGCTCGGACGAGACACCAAAAGTGCAGGCAGCAAAAAGAAAACAGGTAAATGGGACTTTGCCAAAATTTAACCCAGGGAGAGAGGGGAAACGTACCATAAGGGACCCTGTATCTAGAATAGAGAACTCTCATAAATCAACAACAGCAAAGGGCACCCAACTACAGGAAGGGCCAAGGACCCTGAACAGACGCACACAGACAGCCAATCAGCACATGAGGAGATACGCAACATCACTAGTTGCCAGGGAGATGGAGGTCAGGACCATGATAAAACACCACTTCACACCCATCAGGAGAATTTATATGCAGAACAAAATCAGACAAGAACGAGTGCTGGTGGGAATGCGGGGGAGCTGGAGCCCGCGTGCACAGCGGGTGGAGTGTACGACGGAGCGGCCATTGCGGAAAACGGGGCGGCCCCTAAAGAATTCAGTATAGGACGACCACGTCACCCAGCAGGTCTACTCCGCATGCCCAGCCGGCGTGGCTCCGCGGTGGAGCGTCAACCTATGAACCGGAGGGTCACACTCAACTCCCCGCCAGGGCGCATGTCCAGACTGCAGGCTGGATCGCCAGTGGGAGGCGTGCAGGAGGCAGCCGATCAGTGATTCTCTCTCATCACTGATGTTTCTATCTCTCTCCCTCTCCCTTCCTCTCTGAAATCAATAAAAATATATTTAAAGAAAATATACTGCCCTTAAAACCGGGACCCCCCCTCAAGGCTATGTGTGTGTGTGTGTGTCTCTCTGTGTGTGTGTGTGTGTGTCTCTGTGTGTGCCTGTGTGTGTGTTTCTCTCTGTGTGTGTGTATATGTGTCTCTGTGTGTGTGTCTCTGTGTCTGTGTGTGTCTCTCTGTGTGTGTGTGTCCTCATGGTAAGAGTGAGGTGAGAGCAAGCCTGCCCTTCCTGGCCAACGGGAACGTAAGGGAAGCTGCCCTGACAACACAGTCCTTGGCCGGGAGAAGGGAGGGAGGTCTCTCTCCGGGAAGCCGTGAGAGAACCAGCCCCCCCATGGATCTGTACCCCAAATTGGAGACTCCAAAAACTCAAGCATCAAGAACAAAGTGGTCTCAGACCAGTAGTTTGCCTGAGCACCTAGGAGAAGCAAGCATATATATTTTTAAAATATATATTTATTGATTTCAGAGAGGAAGGGAGGAGAGAGAGATAGAAACATCAATGACAAGAGGGAATCATTGATTGGCTGCCTCCTGCACACCCCCCACTGGGGATCGAGTCCACAACCCAGGCATGTGCCCTTAACCAGAATCGAACCTGGGACCCGTCAGTCCGCAGGCTGATGCTCTATCCACTGAGCCACACCGGCTAGGGCAAGCATGTTTTTTAAAGTAACAAAGAGGTTTACTCTAACCCGGCCAGTGTGGCTCAGCGGTTGAGCATCAGCCCAGGACCCAGCAGGCAGCTGGTTCTGTTCCGGGGCTGGGCGTCTGCCGGGCTTGCAGGCTCGGCCCCCAGGAGGGGTGTGTGCAGCACCAGGCCGCCGGTCAATGTTCCTCTCTCATCGAGGTTTCTGTTGATCCCTCTCCCTCTCTCTAAAAATCAATAAAAACATTTTTTAGAAAAAGCGGTTTATTCTACTCAGCAAACATCTAGATGTGACCCTGTGGCTAATTAATTTTCAATCTTTCTCACACGTTCTCCTATGCGCACATGAGACGATTGGCTTTCCTTCCAGCATCGCCTGTCCGCTTCTCCCACTGCCCACCCCCAGGCCTCTCCGTTGTGTATGAATCTCTCCCATTCCCACGTCCGCGGGAGGTTTTGGCTGGCAGTCTGCGAGTGATGTTTACTGAGGTGCAGTTGCATGAGGGGGCGCAGGGGTAAGTGCCTCCTGAATTAGAGACCAAAGGGTCTGGACAAAGGCACAGACCAGCGTGACAAGGCCTGGTCAGGAGATGGGGCACCGCTATCGGAGGTCCCCTCTCCAGCCCCGGCAGCCACACGACTTCCTTCCCAGGTTTAGCTTTCCCTCTTGCGGCTCGTCACCGCTCCGCCTGCTGTGGAATTTTATGTGAAAGGAAAACAGATTTGCCCGGTGCCGGCTCCTCTCCCTCAGGTCAGTGCCCTGAGACGGCCCGAAATGCTGGGGTTCGGCAGTTCATTCCTCCCCGTGGCTGAGGGGGCTTCATCATGAGTCCAGGACAGGGAGCTTTTCCTGGACATCTCGGCTGTTTCCAGCCCTGGTCACTGTCAGGTGGCCGCTCTGTGCTAGCGCACACGTCTTTGTGCGAACATGTGCTCATTCCTCCTACGTGTCAAGCCCGTGAGAGGAGCATCGTGGGTTCAGAGAATGAGTGTAACATCACCACCACGCGTCCCCCAGGTCGGTGTGCGGTTTTGCATTC